AGAGACATAGTCACACAAGTCCAGAAAGCACAGAGGGTCCCATTCAAGAGGAACCCAATGAGGTCCACTCCAAGACACATCATAATTAAAATAGCAAATATCAAAGAAAAAAAGAGAATCCTAAAGGCAGCAAGGGAGAAAGAGGTAGTAACATACAAGGGAGCCCCAATATGGCTAGCAACTGACTTCTCAACAGAAACACTACAAAAAGCCAGAAGGGAATGGCAAGAAATATTCCAAGTCATGAAAAGCAAAGGCCTGCAGCCAAGACTGCTCTACCCAGCAAAGTTCTCAATTAAAATGGGAGGTGAAATTAAGTTTCCCAGACAAAAGATGGCTAAAAAAATACACCTCCACCAGAACAGCACTGCAAAATATGCTAAAGGGACTGCTTTAAGAAGATGAAGAAAAAGTTTCTATGAATACCCATTTCCTTTCAGTCACCAACACTTGATATTACCAATATTTTTAATATTTATTAATCTGTGACAATGGTGTGTTATTTTAATTGTTACTTTATTATATTATGAAACTAAACTTGTTTTTGTATATTTATTGTCTATTTCTATTATTTTTAAAAAGCTTCAAATGACTTTTTGATATTCTTTATTCATTTTTTGACTAAATGTTTGTAGAATTTTTTCCCTAAAAATAAAAAAGCTATTTACCCTTTTTTAGATGTGCAAATTTAGACTATTTAGAATAGCAAATACTTTCCTATTCTATTACTTGTCCTTTACCTTTTTTAACATGTATATTACTGCATAGTCTTAAATGTTTAATATAGTCATATTGTTAACATTTTACTTTATACCTTCTGGGTTTGAATATTTTACTTCAGGGTAAGAAAAATATTATTTTGTATTTTCTCCTAAAACTCCTTAGATTTTACATATTGATTTTTGACTTACTTGAATATTTTTTATATAATGAGTGAAATATGGCTCTATTTTTGTTTTATTTCACGTAATAGTGGTCCATGCACTTTATTTGTTGAATAAGCCTTATTTCCCCCATTGATTTGAAATATCAATTTAATCATATAATATGTTGTCTACAGCTATATATGTTTCTAGAATGCTCATTTTATTTCATTGAGCTACTTGATTATTTCTGTGCTGGTGTCATATTCATCAAAATAAGAAGCTTCTGCACAGCTAAAGAAAACATCAGCAAAATGAAAAGGGATCCAATTGTATGGGAAAATATATTTGCTGATGATACCTTGGACAAGGGTTTGATCTCCAAAATACATAAAGAACTCACATGACTCCACTCCAAGAAGACAAACAAACCAATTAAAAAAATGGGCAAAGGACCTGAACAGATACTTGTCCAAGGAGGACATACATGGGGCCCATAGACATATGAAAGGATGCTCAGCATCACTAGCCATCAGAAAAATGCAAATTAAAACCACAGTGAGATACCACGTCACACCAGTCAGAATGGCCATCATAAATAAAGCAACAAACAACGGGTGCTGACAAGGTTTTGGAGAAAAGGGAACCCTAGTCCACTGCTGGTGGGAATGCAGACTAGTACAGCCACTGTGGAAAATAGTTTGGAATTTCCTCAAAAAGCTAAAAATGGAACTGCTTTTTGACCCAGTGATTCCACTGCTGGGATTATACCCTAAGAATTCCAAAACACCAATTAAAAAGAACCTATGCACCCCAATTTTTATAGCAGCAGAATTTACAATAATCTAGTGCTGGAAGCAACCTAAGTGCCCATCAATAAATGCGTGGATCAAAAAATGATGGCACATTTACACAATGGAATACTATGCAGCAGAAAGAAAGAAAGAGCTACTACCCCTTGCAACAGCATGGATGGAACTGTAGAGCATTATGCTAAGCGAAATGCACCAGCAGGTGAAAGACAAATACCATAGGGTCTCACCCATAAGTGGAACCTAATCAACAAAACAAACAAGCAAGGAGAATATAACCAGCGACATTGAAAGAAAAATGAAACTGACAGTAACAAGAGGGAAGGAGGGAGTTGGGGTCATGGGGAAAATAAAGGGAAGGGTCAAATCAAGGAACATGTATAAAGGACCCACGTACAAAACCCAAGAGGGGAAGGATTGAGGGTGGGAGGTGGGGGTGGGTGGGGCAGGGGAAAGTGGTGGAGGGAAAATGGAGAGAAATGTATTTGAACAATAAAAATTAATAAAAAGAAAATTAGAGGACAAATCAGGAGATTTACCATACAAATAACAGGGTTCCAGAGAGAACAGAGAAAACAAAGTCACTGCAATGAAGTGATTCACGAAAAAGTATTTAAAATGAAGAACATGAGTTTCAAGTCTGAAATGATCTACTTAGTACCCAGCAAAATGATTAAAAATTTGACCCGTATTAAGATGTTTGAAGTTTCACAACAATAAAGACAAAGAGAAATCCTCCAAGTTTCTAGAAAGAAAAAAACAGGTCCTACAACAAGGGAACAGAAATAGAATGACAGCAGAGTTCTATGGTAACAGCGATGCCAGAAAGGCAATGATGCAATGACTTTAAAATTCTGAGGAAATGCTCTGGCTGGTGTGGTTCAGTTGGCTGGGCATAGCCCCACAAACCCAAAGATCTCAGTTTTTATTCCCAGTCAGGGTACATAACTAGGTTGCGGGTTTGGCCTCCTGGTGGAGCACATACAAAAGTCAGCCAATTGATGCTTCCTTCTCACACTGGTGTTTCTCTCCCTCTCTTTCTCCTCCCCTTCCCTTGTATCTAAAATCAATGAGCAAGTCCTCAGGTAAGGATAAAAAAAATTCTGAGGAAAAACTATTTCCACTCCCGAGTTCTTTATCCAGCTAGGCCTCTACTTTAATAGAGAATAAAATAAAGACATTTGCAAACCTGTAAAGAGTTGGACATTTTTACCTCCCATAGACCATTTCTCAAAGAGCTACTGGAGATAGGCTCCACCAAGTGAGTAAAGCAAGAAAGAGAAAAAGATGGGATTAACAAATCAGTGATCCAACACAAGAGAAAGGTATGATGGTGAAGGGAAGTCCTTAGACAACAGCTGTGCAACCACAGGTCTAAAGAGCGACCAACCAGTCCAGACTCTCTGAAAGGGACTTCTTAGAAAAGACAAAACTGATAGAATCCCTCATGTGTTTGAACATATGGAGAGATTTACACAAGAATGAAGAGTTTGGGAATTAATTAGTGATAAGGACATTAAAAAGGAAGCAAATTAAAAAACAAGGCAATTATTAACTCCAGAACAGAGAAGTGACCACAGGATACTACATAGTGCAGCTGTTGCTGGAGTTTATACATAGTCATTCACAGTAATGTAAAATGCTCCAGCCAAAATTACGGCTTATCTGTATTAGCATTTGGAGGGGACAGTAGGTACCTGTGAGATGGAGAGCATGAACACTAATTAAATTCTCATCTCCCACAGTAGAAAATCAACGTGTGACACAGAAAATTGAAAAATAAACAGTAGCAAAATAAGCATTTGGTTATAAGGTTGTAAAAAGTACATTATCAGCCAAAGAGGTGAAAGTGGCTGCCTCTGGGGTGAAGTGGAGGCAGAGGGGTTACCCTGTATTTGGTTACAAGCCTTGTAGAATTATTTAACTCTGTAAAATAATGAACATTTAACTTTCCTAGAATTAACACAACAAAAAGCCTTTTTTATATGGTTGCAAAAACAAAACACAAGCAACCTTATACTCCAAATAAAACTCTTGATTTTCCTATTTGCTATCAAAGCAAGCTTTTCTGAATTTGATTTCCTCATCTGTAAACTGATCAGCCCAGGTCTGTCCACAAAGTACCCAGCCTTGTACTATGAAAAATAGAGACATTTACTGAAGAAGATACAAGATTCAAGAAACATTGTACATAGGACAATGATGCCTCAGTCCCCTTCAAAGTAGGCACCATGGGACCTCAAACAGTTCCCCCAGTTGCCATTAGGTGCCACATCATATTTTCCTGAATCCCATCCATGGTCTGAAATCTCTTCCCTTTCAAAGGTGATTTTAGTTTTGGGGAAAGCCAGAAGTTGCAGGGCACCAAACCTGGGCTGTAGGGGAACTGAGTCACCTGCATGATTTGATGTTTCTCAAGAAAACTGTGCATAAGACATGATGCATGATCAGGCGTGTTGTCATAAGGAAGCTGTCAATCACTGACCATAGCTGCAGCCTTCTGAATATGTTTCCATGCAGGAATGTTCAAGCTTAATGCAAAATTTGACGCAGATTCATTGCTCTATTAGCTCAGTCATTTTGAATGTGATGGCCACACAGTACACATGCTCACTCAACTGCTCTACTGCCCCCACTGACTAGTACAGTGAAGTCATCATTGTTCATGAATGTGGCTTCCAGGCCACTCTCCTTGGCTGCCAGGTTACATCCCTGTGGCACAAACTGCTCTCCTTGTATTAACAATGGCGGGACTTTTTCCAGATCGACCTCTTATAGATTGAAATAGACTGTGAATACAAAAGTGCTTGGAAACTACAAAAGTTGTTTAACAACAACAACAACAATAATAAAAACTTAGAATCCAAAAGCTAAGAACCCTCAACATTCATTTACTAATCACTTTGTGTGTGTAGTTGGGAGCAGACACCCTAAGCATAGCACTGCGCGAAACCAGCGACTTGACCTCCAACTCATCGGTCCAGCGCCAGCTCCCGCCCCTACGTGTTCCTTAAGGTGATGTAGTCTTTACGCTCCCGGGCTAGAGTTTTCTGAAACCGTATTCGCGCTGTGTCGCTTCCTAGCTGTACAGCCTCAGACAATGTCTTTAGCTATTTCTGAATCTGTTTCCTTACCCAGGAATAGTCAAGTCTCTCTTGCGAAACTAACGTGAGCGACGAAGCAGAGATGAACGGCAAGACCTTTGCTTTGGTCAATAACTAATCGCAGCTCCCTAACTTCAGCGCCCGCGTCGGCGTGCTGGACCCCTGGGGCCCTGGAGAAGCCTGCTGAGAGCGGCTGGGGGCGGGGAGGATCCGCAGTCACTATGGCAACCGGAGACGCCTCGCATTCTCCGGCAGCCTGCGGCGGAGCTGAGAAGGCCAGGGGAGAAGACCCCGGCGGCCCAAGAGTGGAGAAGGGGATGGTAGAGACTACGGCGGCGGCGCCCGAGACGAGCAGCGGCGGGGAGCAGCCTGGGCAGCCGGCTGGGCTGGGGGGTGGAGCGCGCTGGGAGCCCAGTTCCGGCGGCCCCCAGGAGCCCCGCCAACAGTGTGTATTGCCCATCAGCCGCGGACCCTGCGCAGAGGGTCGTGCGGTGTGGAGAACCGGTGAGAAGGGAACCGGGAAACCGGAGTGAGACTGACTGAAGCAGAGAAGATTTTGGAGGGAGGGGGTAGAGCTGATGTTTTGGCAAAGAAAGAGGTGATGGCACTGTGGCAGAAAGCATTCAGTCCGTTTCCCCAAATTGCCCGCGACTTAATTGGTAGCGTCATTGGTCTGGAAGGTATTGAAAAAAAAAATGTGTACATATAACTTATGAAAATATGAAAGTATTAAAATATTATATATAATACAAACTTAAAATATAATAAAATATATAAATTTTATACACGGAAACATGTAGATCATTTTTGGCAATTCCTTCATTGTACAGACCAGGAAATTGAGCTCTAGACTAGAGAAAGGGAAGTGACTTGATCACGGTCACTCAGTGCGGGAGAAATACTTAAAACACTTAGACTCTCATCTTTTGGACTTTCAGTCCATAAATTATTATCCAATCCTTCTAGAGCCTCACAATTATACGCCATCTTTTAACACACTGCTGTCTCCTCTCTGCCCTGCCAAACGCACCGACAGTATTCAAATAAGTAAAGGCAGTTCTGGTCCACCGTTACAACCGACTGTTGTAACTTGAGTCCGCGCCAGGTCACACCGCTCAGCCATATTGTTCCATGAATTTACAGGTTTTTCACAGTCCCTGGATCCCCACAGGTTTTCAGTAGGTGCTAAGGAACGATGCTGGTGAAAATAATAAGCCAAAGAGGGACTCCAGAGGTTGCCAGCCCTTCTGCAGCATCTCCTCCGTGCCTCTCTAGAAAGCTGTCGGTTCCAGCAATTCCCTCTTTGCTCCGCCATCCCCCGGAGGAAGGGTTGGGCTGAAGAGGCTCAGCTCTCCTGGCCCAGGGGACCACACACCATCCTCCCTCAAGACCTCTCATCAAGAAGCCACAGAACCTCTGCCTCCTTGTGAAAAGGCCTCTTCCATCAGCATCAGCCCTAATATGACTGATTATGATACCTCCTTTCTTTTATTATTAACAGCATGAGGAGGCCTTAGAGCACCTGAATTCAGTATATTACAGCATTTAGTATGTTTAAGTAATTCCTTATTTTGACAAAATTCTATCTGGGAATTTTCTCATTAAAGATGCTAGAATTTAAGGGTTCTTTATTCCTGTGGCTATAGGTGTAAAAGGTAGAAGTAATCACTCAAGCATGGACTCAACAAACACCGAGTCCTTACTGCATGCTTGGCATGGGACAAGTTGCAGGGAAGTGAGTGATAAATTGAGAGGCAGGAGTCTAAACTATCTGGAACTCACAAAGTCAGGGGCTGGGCATATACAGTTCCTTCCTCAGCCTCCCTGAAAGCCTCCTTTTAGGGTCTCAGTCTAAGCAGAGACAGGCTGTTCACACCTACACAAAGTACTCATTCAATTTTCAAATTTTTTTGGAGAAGTCTTCAGTCTGTTTTTTGGAAAGGTCTTCAGTTGCCCTGCAGCTTCAACTCCCTAATCATAGATCTGCTCTTAAATATACACAGATAAAATGTAGTCTTTACTCATTGAAATTATATAATTCCATCCTTGAATTATAAAAATGGTTAGTTTGAGCACTCATCAATCTTTCATAGACTTCAGTGTTACCTTTAAAATAATTTATAGCACATTCATCACAATGGATGATCTCTTCCAATATTCTCCAGCTTATTAAATCACTGAATCCAGTATTCTAGATATGATCAGATTAGAATAGTGTGGTAGGACTATAGCCTCCTTTGATCGGAACATTATTCTTCTATTAAATGGATCCAAATTACATTAGCTGTATTTTATATTATTAACACATTTAACAAATGCTGTCTATGGCATCCATAGTTTCTTTTCTCCTCTGTTCATTTAAAAAATACTTGAGCCAGGCCTTTTCTATCCTACACTTAAGCAGTTCATTTGTTTGATCCTAAATACATGTTATTCTATTTACCCTCATCAATAACATCCTATAGATATTAGCACTTCATTCCAGATATAGAACTAGCTCGCTGAGTCTTGAGTTTGCCATTCACCAAGTTTGTGCCATTCTCACATTTGGTGAGTCTGCTGGAAGTTCATACATCCAAATCAGCAAATTAGATGATCTCAACAATGCCAGGAAGAGTCTCTAGTAGCCCTTGACTTGTCAGTCAGCATCTTTGGCATGGGCATTCTGTCTTTTATAAATACACTTTATCAAATGCATTGCTGAAACGTAGATCTGTTATGGGTACATCTCGCTAATCTAGCTTTTTTAGTAATTTGGGTTTGGAATAGTCAGGTAGGCAAGGCAGTTAATTTTTTGATGAGTTTTGTGACTTCTGGGAGTTACTTTTTCACCTATAAAATAGGAATAATTGTATCTACCCATAGCATAATGGTGAGAAAGAGAAATAATGTATGTAAGATGTTTAGGGCATGGTAGCATTCAATAAATTGTAGCAATTGTTATTAGCTCTTAATAACAACAACAACAAAAAATCCAATTTATTCTGGAATAATATTGTTTTTAGCAATCCTTAGCTACTTAGTAAACACAGCTCCTTGTACTCACAATCAAGCTGTTGATTGATTCATTTAAAATTTTGGTGAAGATCAACATTAAGCTGCTGCTAGTTTTCTTTTTTCTCACCCCTTTCCTTCCTTCCTTCATTTCTTTTTTGGAGCAGGGAATATTTCCCTATATTGGCTCTTTTCTACTCTCCCATTTTTTACAGTTTCTCAAAACCTTTAGTGATTTCCTCTGTAAATTCTTGAAGCAGCAGGGCTGAAATGTGTCAAAAGACTTGAACTGACCTGGTTAGACTTTTCTTCCTTCTTGGCCACATTTCTTAAAACCTTAACTGCCTAAATTTTAATCAAAAAAGTTTATTCTAAAATTAGAGTAATGCTGATTCTATCTCTCATTCATATGACTCCTAACTTTGGGGAAACCAGATTGAGACGTACAAAGAATCTCTACCTTGTCCGTGTCTATTGCTGTGTGTGTGGGCCTTCATGACCAGGAATGCCGGAGGACCACAGGTTTCTTGCCCCATTTGAGCCAGTCTGCACGTAAGCCAAATTTATTCACTTGTGTTCTTCATTCATTAGTCCAGAAAAGATGAGACACCTGCCATGTCTTTGTGAGTTTAAAGTCAAATCTGAATAGCTAAAGTATTTTGTTGTTTAGGTTTTTCACAGTTCTTTGCATTGAGATTTTGGGTACGAAAACTAGGAGTACTAGTTTCCTGACATTCACAAAGCTACACTGGCAGACATGCACACAGAATGGTCTTGAGCTCTGTGTAACTTAACAAGGCTTAGTTCTATTTGAACACACATTTGCTGAGTATCTATTATTATGCCAACCTCTCTTCTAGGACTCTGCTGACTGAACAGACATCCTTGCCCTTAGGGTATTTATGGTTTGGTAAGGAAGACATATATGAAACTAATAGTTACGCAAGCAATTGTATATAAAGTAAATAAATAAATTGACAAATTGCATTACGTGAAACAAAAGAAAAGTAGAAAGTAGTATAAGCAGAATAAACCAGGGGCATTTCAAGATTGTGGAGTCAGGGAACATATTCTTAAAGAACTGACATTCAAGGCTACATCCGAAATTTGAGAAGAAGTTACCCAGGCAAAAAATTAGGAGAGAGACATTTTAGGCAGAGAAAATAGAACGTGGGAATGGGCAGAAGGGCCATGATGGCACTTAGAGAATGAGAGAAAGGCCAGCAGGAGAGATGGGAGAGACAGATGGGGTCAGATAGCACAGGGCCAAAGAAATACAGCTGAGGTGCTTAGAACAAATGATACAGTCCTCCACTAGTGCAGCAATGTCCTATAAGGCCAGGTCTAGAGGCCAGCGCAACATCATTTGTCCATAATTTGTTCACTACTGCAATTTGGATTCAGCCCCTAAAAAATGATTGTTAAATAATGGTGAGGCTGCTCTGTTGTATATCTGGCTTGTGGACTCCATGCACACACCGGAATTATTCATGGCTATATCCTTTGTCCTTACCTAGCCAAATGCCTGGCACAGAGTAGGTCTTTAATAAGAATTTATCGAATAAACGAGTTTTCTTGACGCTAATGAAGACATTAGCTTCTTCATAATACCTAAAAGAGGTATCTTAAACTACCCCAGAAGTTCAGGAATTATAAGAAAGCGTAAGTCCCAAAAGAACCAGAAGCCGGAATGAAAGAGATCTTCCCAAAATAGAGTCTGCAGGGTAAATCATCCGTATTTGTATAGAAGGATATGTCTTTTGTTGTTGTTGTTGTTTTTAAGATATTTGTGTAGGTATAATGGCTAGAAGGTTAGGAAGAATGTATGATACATAACCAAATTTGTTAATGTCTTTATAGGGAAGAAATTTTTATATTGTGAGCCACATAAGAGAATTAAGGAAGTACTGGAAGAAGAACTTTATATTAAGAGAGATGAATGCCACATTACAAATCCACCTGCAGGTAATCTCAGTGACAAAGGAAGTGTATTTGTGAAATGGACATAAAATTGCCCATTTGATGGCAGAATGATTGTTTATTGCAAAAACCACGACTGTCAACAGAAAGATGGTTTTTTTTGGAAATTATTGTGCTAATTTTATAATTACTCGCTTATATCCAAATAAGCTCTTATAGTTAGGAAAAAAAGAGCTAGGTATCAGTATCTGCATTGCTGTCCCACATTTTTTGGAAGAGTTATTTCTATTTAATGACAAACAGAATTGTTCTCCAAGTGCCTGAAAAGCACGATAACATCTTTAATTTTTATCAGTATAAGTATGACCAATAAAAGTGGTTTCCAAAGCTAAATTTCATCAGAATTACTGAGGAGACTATTAAAAGCAGATTGCTTGGAACTGGCTCAGTACGTCTGGGGTGGGGTTCAAGAATTTACATTTCTATCACATTCCAAGGTGATGATACTGCAAGTCCAGGGACCCCACTTTGCAAATCCCTGGCCCAGAAGACTATAAGTCATTTAAATAGGTCAACTCATCCATGGATTTTATTGTACATACACATAGTCTGTAAGTTACATGGTATTGATAACTTTCACTGATGGCTCACTTGGAGAAAGATATGCTCTAGAATCCTCAGAATTCCTCACAGATGTTATTTGGAAACTGTTGGAGCCCCTCATTTTCGCAGTTTTTTCTCAGTGATTACTAGGAGCATACCTCATGCTCTCCAAATCATCAGGTTTTTATTGCAACTCACTTGGGTACCAGCATTTCTAGGAGAAATAAAAGAACTGTAAAACGTGACTCCTATACTCAGAGAGCTTGACATTTCCTGAGGAGTATTGTTGGACACCTGGCAGGCACTGCCCAGATTCTCTAAAAATTCCTAAGAGCAGATGCTGCAGGCCCCGAGGTACATCATTTCAGACTCCATGACATATTTGCCCTCTTTATTCAAAACCAGCCATAGAAACACCATTTTAGGTCTTCTGTATCACTGATTCTTACAAAAAGAAAGACCAGCAAAATGGCCAATTTTGTTCATATGGTATCTTGAAGGAAAGTTTTTTAAAAATGTTTTATAAACATTTAATTATACATACATATTTTTACATTTTTTGTATTTTGAAATCAATATTTTTTTTACATTTTTCTTGTATTTCCCCATTACCATTTATCTCCCCAGACCTTCTTCCCCCGCCACCCACCCCCTCCCCTCTTGAAAGAAAGTTTAAAGTCTAGTTTGAGCTCTATGGATGGATGGAGAATGGCTGCTTAACTGTTTCTCTGAAACCCAGCCTACATATACCATTTTCCTGGTGGTTAAAATATTTTTTTAAGTCTATACCCTTATATTTGGGTTTTACTTTCATTTATACACTTATAAATGTATAATTTATATACCATTTAGATGTTATGTTATTGTATACATTTGATTATAAGACAAGCTAAGTAAATAGGAAATACCATTCGGTTTATAAAAATTCATTTTTCTAAGCTATCTTTTCAAATATGTTCATATAAAATAGAATGCTTGGGCTGCATTTTTATAACATCCACTAGGGGTCACTCAGAGGTGCTATTCTAGCCTAGAAAAATCTTTCAAAGCTGAGGCTAGATTTTTTTTTTAAGGTTTTTTGTTTTTAACATAATTTATTTATTTATTTTTTAATCCTCACCCAAAGATATGCTTATTCAGTTTTAGAAAGAGAGGAAGGGAGAGAGACGCAGAGAAACACTGATGTGAAAGAGAAATATCAATTGGTTGTCTCCCTTCTATAGGCACCCTGACCAGGGATGGAACCACACCTAAGTATGTGTCCTGACAGCAAATCAAACCCACAACCTTTTGTCCTGTGGGACAATGCTCCAACCAAATAAGCCACCCTACTGGGGCTTAAAGCTAAGTTTTAAAAGGACTCAACTTATGGAAAACAAAAACTGCTGTTGTTTTTCCTTCTTTTTTAAATGGCTGGAAGCCCCATGTCCTTGGCCATGGCAGGGAACTAGCACCTGGAGAAGGCGCCACCTCTTTCAGTTTAGTCTGAGTTTTGGTAGCTCTGGGTCAGCCACTGGGCCTTCTAGCTCCAGGTGTCAGTGACACAGAGCTTTAAATATATGATGAAAGATATGGCTTCTTTTCCTGGGAAACACAGCTTGTTACATAGACCCAAAATTCTGTAAAAAATTGTAGGGATTTATGACTTCTACAGATGTTAAGAGTTAGTAAACTTGACCCATGATCTCACTGGGTCAGGTAAACTTGACCCACTTTTTTGCCTATCCTTTTCTCCTTTACCCATTCCAGTTAGGCTTTTGCTTCCATGAATCCAGGGAAGCTGTTTTTATCTAATGTGCAAATGTCTTTCCTCACGAAGGTCAAATCCAATGATCTTGAAGCTCAGATATAATCCACAAACTCACCAAACTCAACTTCTATGTAGCATCTGATGCAATTGTTTACATCTTCCCTGTTAAAACCTGTCCTCAGCTTAGCCTACAGCTCACCATACTCCAATCTCCTGATTTTGCTCATACCACTTTGGAGAATTTTTGCTCTAAACTTTGGAGAATTCAGTTACAGGCCCTTTTCTTGATCTACATCCACTCCCTGGGTGATCATATCTAGGCATATTATACTCCAAGATTGATATTTCTAGGCTCTGTTTTCCCTCTCAATTCCCCAAAGCCTACTTAACTTTCCACTTGGATGTCTAATAGGCCTCTCAAATTTAACATGTCCAGAATAGAACTCTTACTCCTACTCCAGCTTTTAAAATCCCATACTTCAACAGGTCTGACCCTTCTTAAGAAATGGTACCACTGCTCTGGCTGGTGTGGCTCAGTGGACTGAGCACTGGCCTGCCATAGCAATGTTGCCAGTTGCACTCCTGGTCAGGGCACATGCCTGCGTTGCGGGCCAGGTCCCCAGTTGGGGGCATGTGAGAAGAAACCAATCATGTATCTCTCACAGATCAATGTTTCTTTCCTTCTTTCTCTCTTCCTTCCCATCTCTCTAAAAATAAATAAAGAAAACCTTAAAAAAAAAAATAAAGAAGTGGCACTACCATTCACTCAGTTGATTAGGCCAAAGACCCAGAAGTCAAGTCCCCACACTTTGTATCCAGGCCATCAGCTAATCTTATTGAATCTATATTTGAAATATACCCTAAATTTCCCCAACTGCAACCTTGCCCAAGCCTCCATCATCTCTTACAGTTTCAGCAACACCATCCTATTCTCTGCACAGAACACAGAGGGATCTCTTACAGGTGTAAATCACTGCATATTACGTCCATGCTCAACACTCTCCAATGGCTTATTATTCTTAGTTTTCATTTTTAACTCCTTATATGGCCAGCTCACCTCTTTGAACTCAGCTCCTATACTTTCCTAATCTACTTTAGCCACATAGGCTTTCTTGATCTTCTGGAACAGGCCAAACTCATTCCTGCCACAGGACCTTTACATTCACCTAGACCATCAAATGTCTTCCTTTCTCTCCATTCAAATTTCAGTTGAAATGTCATTTTCTCAGAGGTAACTTCTCTACCAGGTTAAATAGAAACCATACACCCTCCCAAGTTACTCTGTAATTCTTTACATTATTTTCTTCTCTCTGCTTTTTTCTATCATTTCTTGAGATTATACAGTAATTTGCATACTACTTTATTGACTATCTTTCCCACTAGAACAAAAGCTACCTGAGGACAGAGGCTTTATTTTGCTTACCTCAAATTCTCTTGAAAGCTATGTGATATAGATATTATGATCCCCAATTTATGGATGAGTAAACTGAAATTTTGAGAGATTTTTTACTGTCCAAGGTTATGCATTAAATGGCAAAACTGAATTCCAAATTCAGATCTCACTCCAAATGCCACTGACATCCTTTCTTTTTTTAAAATCGATTTGAGAGAGACAGAGAAAGGGAGAGAGGGAGGGAGAGAGAGAGAAAAAATAAACATTGATTTGTTGTTCCACTTATTTATGCACTCATTGGTTGATTCTTGTATGCGCCCTGACTGGAGATCGAACCTGCAACCTTGTTGTATATCAGGATGAGGCTCTAACCAACTGAGCACCCAGCCAGGGCACCATTGACTTCCTCTTCACTATAGTGCCTCTGGTGACACTAGCTAAATTTGGTGGATACTGTTTCATTCTTGGCCGGCTTGAGATTTCCGCAACATTTGACATAGTTGATGGCTCTCTCCTTAAACCTTCTTCTTTCCTTGAAGTCCTTGATACTAAAATGTCCTCATTCCTCTCTTACCTCTCTGGATAGTCCTTCTCATCCTCCTTTAAGAACATTTTCTCCTTTACCCATTCCAATGAAACTAGTACCTCTCTCCCACTTGATTCTTCCCACATGTCACTCATATCAATGAACGACTTGGACTGATGTCCGTGTCTACAACCAGAGAGGCACCCTGCATTCCCACTCCCAATCCCCATATCCCACCTCTCTCTCTTTCACTCAGTGGCTGTCAGCGGTACTTCAGTTTGGCTCAGGACCCAAGCTGTTGACTCATATGCCAGCTTCCTCTTACAAACATATGGACATATTTATTTGTTCTGCATTGTATTTTTAAATGTATCAACCAGTTGTCAACATTTTAAAAATCAGGGCCTTTTATATACATATCTAGATTTCTAGATTATATTGGGTGAAGAGAAAGGAGGGAAGAGAAAGGAAGAGGTGACAACAGAGTCAACATTCACACTTGGCAGCAGCGGCTGGAGTTGGGTTACACCGTCCTTGCCGGCCTTCCCATTCTGCTCTTGACCATTGCTCACCGAGTTCCCCAGGCAAGTGGGGCACATCACAAGCTGCCTAATGTTCACACATTCGCTGCAGACTTTCTCTTCTTATGGTAGAAGTAGGAAAAAAGTGATCCTCTGGCATACATGCCTCAAACAAAAGTAGGGAAAAAATACAAGACTGGGAGAGCCTGTATTTCTACCCCTGGTTTTACTTACTTACATTACCTACCTGGTCTCTGTCGCAATATATACTTTCTTAGATCCAAGTCCATGTTAATTCTAGGGACTCCAAGTTGAATATGCATGTCTCCATGCATGTTTGCGTAGTTATGTATGCATTGGTTGGGTTTGTTTCAATTTTTAAACAATAAATTTCACATACTTATGCAATAATATGATTGGAGAAGATGACATTTCAAAAAATGTCCAGACTGGACTTCCCTTCAATTGTTGATAAAGCACCAAAACATGACCACATAACAAAGTACGTGTAGATAAACTTACTGAAGAGCTTTTGCCATTTGTTAAGAGGGGCATTGATCTTGAAGTTAAGTAAATTAAATTATAGCATGTTTTATTTGTGACTGAGCTAATGATGACAATTATGAAATTATTTAGAAGTAATAACCTTAAATTATTTCTGTACTTTTTCTCTTTTCCTTTGGTTGAATGAAACTGGTAAAAGATCAAATGTTTCTTCTCCTTGGGTTAAATGAAATAAGTAAAAAAAAAAAAATCAGAAGATCCAGAAGTTAGGTTTTATGGATATCTAACAAAGTGAACATCACGTTTCTTTTGAAATACTGTTGTTTGGGCAGCAACCCAGGACTCAGGATAAAGAGCTCTTCAGCCTTCTGGGGCTCTCAGCTGAATGAGCTGGCCCATCTGTTCTTGGGCTGTGTTGTTTTCACCAGTTAATAAGAGCTGTGCAGACATTGAGATGCCAAGATGTCCTAGGTGGTTGTTACCGTGCACCCCATACTTGGGCTCAGGGAATGGCACCAGTGACCACAGGGCTGCTGATTTTTTTCCAGGCTCTTGATGCAGAGACATTGGGTTCAGGAGGAAGCATTGGTTGCTTGGGTGAGGGGTGGATGAAGGGTGTCTGTAGATGTGAAATGACGATGGCAATGATGGGCATAATAATAATTACTATATCGGCTGTCATTCATGGTGTATCTTCTGGACATGAAGACTGCTTACAAATTATCATTTCTCTTAACTCTTACAACAATCCTGTGTTCTTATTATTCCCATTTTGCAGACCTGGAAGCTGAGACTTAGGGAAGTACAGTGACTTGCTCATTGTCACACACTGAAATAGCTGATGTTTAAATGCATGCTTGTCAGAAACTGATATCCTTACTCTTAGCCATTGGGTTATACTGTCATTCTTTAAAACACAATACTATGTCTTCTGAGAGGAAAAAGACTTGAAATTGCATTGGTAGCAAACTGTACTCTGCTCAGTTAAAAAAATATCGACACAATTTTCAGCCTCAGTTTAGGTTTAAACTTGAGGTAAAACCAAGATTTCAGAGACATTACACACATTCTTGTCATATAGGAATGGCCCAGGATCTACATGAAAGGTTCTCCTCATCCTGAATAAAAAGAAATGCAATTTTATGATCAGATCTTTTGTCACGTGAAAATGGAATTTGGGGCAACTTATGCAACCTTCTGGATAAATGAGATTTTATTGAACATCATCATTCACATATTCTTAGTGATTCCCTGAAGATTTCCCCCTCCTTACAACCTCTTCGAAAGAAGCGGTAAGCTTGTGAGACATGAGTTCTATGTTTCTAAGAACTTCTATATAGGACTTTGCAGAAATAAATTAATGTTCTAATGTAATGTTTTCAAATTGCAAGGGCTTTTGTATTTTTCTGGCTAAAATCTATAGAACTTTAGTAGTCAAGATAAATTTGAATGAATCTTCCTAGTTTTTCCATGCACAACATTTCCTTTTCCAATGAGTTTCAATAATGTCCTGCCAGTTACATTCATTTGTCTCTACATGTGTCTTAATGCATAAAAACTTAATTTTGTGTCTGATTTATTTATTATGTTTAGTACCAACTCAGAAAATGTAAACGGTTGCTCAGTGAGAGTGGATGTGTTTGTTACTCATTAATTTATTCAACAAAAATGTTTTGTGCACATACAATATGCCAGGAATTTACTAGACACCAATAGCATGTCAAGATAATTACAAAGCTTAGAAGCCAGCAAAGTTAAATTTAAATCACTTCAATTTTTCTTCCTCTGGTCAAATCCTACCATGTTCACGAAAGGAGGCATAGAAAATATGGTCCTAAACTAGCTTTTCAAGTTCTAACGTTCATTACGCACAATCCAGAGACAGCTTAAAGGAACAAAATATTTTTAAAGGGCGAGTTTACCTTCCCTGAAAGACCAGGCCAGGTCCCAGTAGCTAAACTTGCCAGCACAAAAGCATGGTTTAGTAACTTTAAAATTCAGGATAAAAACACACCTACAAAGATCTCTGAGTAGAAAGGGCAGGGGGCATGAGAGGGGAAGGAAGAAGTAGAATCTCTAGAAGATCCTGAGTTTCAAGAAAGAACTTAATTCCTTTCTCTTAGCTTTTCTCTTTTGCCGGTTGCCCTTTTCCTTTTGGGCTTCAGCTGCCAACACAGGTCTTTCTGGCGCTGCTCCTGCTTTGTCTTGTCTTCCGTCCTCCTCCTGGAGCAAACGTGGCCAGATCCAGAGTTGGTTTTCTCTTTAAAGAAGCAGCTGCTTCGAAGGCGATTCGTGCTTCTTTCCAGACCTCATTTTCTCCCCTTGAAGATAGCATCTTTTGTAACTTCTTCACCCACACATCATATCAGATCAAAGTAGTGCAATTTTTTCCAGCAGCCTCTACTCTTGAGTACAGTAAATACTTATGCATAGTTATGCTTTGAGGGTTTTTTTTTTTTCATGCATTTCCAAGCAACTGCATTTATATTTCAAGTATTTTCCCTATTAAGTTGTAAACTTCCATTATGTCTGGGGTAGCAACTGAAAAAACACACTTAAATTAGACTAGTATAGGTCTTCTAATTTGATATGGTTTTGCTACATAGTTCTGCCTCCTGATTTTAAACTGTTCCCCATTTACCAGACCTTAGCACAATGGAGAACAAATATAAATCTTAGAGGGTGTGTAGCACAGGGGTATTTAGCAAACAGTTATGGACTCCTAAATCTGAGAGTTTATTACCCAGAGGCAGGGGAGCAGCCCTCTTCTAGCTCTAAATAGGACAGAAGAAGAGGAACCTGGTTTGAATGGTGGGGAAGATTTAGGTTAGATATAAGGAACAGCTTAAACCTTGTAATCTTGACTGAAGGAGATTGTGGAGTTTTTCCTGAAGGTCTTTGAAGAAGGAAGAAACTAATCTTGACAGATAGCTTGGGCTGCTCCACTCAGGAGAGGGAAGGAAAATCAAGTATTGAAATTCAGCTTAGTGAGTCAGGTCAGTACCTATGCGCCCAGAAATGGAATCCAAGTCCATGCTTGGGCAGGAAAAACATTGTCCCTTTAAAAGTAATAGCTGTCATTTATTAAGTGCAGAGCACTTTTATCCATTTCATCCTTCAAGGTAGATAGTATTATTCCCATTTCACAGACAAGGAAACCGAGACATACTGGGTTAAATAACTTGTCCAACGTCATACGGACCGGTAGGTGGTGGAGCAGAGACTGGAACCAGATCTCCTCTGAACTTAAAGGCCAGGCCCCTAATCATTACATGGTACGAAATTCTTTGCGGATGGGTCAAATATCAGTGTGGATGCCAGTGGACAAATTGGATCTGTGGAAAATATTTGTCATCAAAAGCTGCAGCTTACAAAATGCAAAAAACAAGTGATGGCACTAACCTGAATTCACTACCTTACTTGGCTTGGGTCACAGATTTCTACACAGTAGATTTTCAACAAATTTGTGATGACCGACTCTGAAATACCTAAATAATTGACCTTAGGGTATGGAAGAAAGCCCAGTGCAACTTATTACTAAACCAATACTTATTGAATGGTATCAGGATTTAAGCCTATAGTTTTCCTTGTACCAATGTATATATAGTTCCAAATATTTTGCTATAGCATTTTCTAGTATTTTATGTTTCTTCGAAGGGGAGATTAAACAGCATTTAGTTTATGGTTTTTAGAAGATTGCGGAATTTATTGGATGAGTTAATGTGGTAGCCTTAGGTTATATTATTTTTGGAAATTTTTGAGCTTCTAGTAATTAAGTCAGAATCAGACAAGTTTGACTGAATGAAGGCTATATATTAACTGTTATTTATTCTTGATCTTTCTGTGTTTTGTCATTTATATTTCTATATTGGCTTTTCATCTACTTCTTAAGAGGTAAATTAAATGATCTAATTAAGCACTGTAGAGGTTTAATTGCATAAGGATTAATTGAATGAACGAACTAGAATAAAAGATTAAACAAATAATAAAGATCTTGGGTAGTTTGATTAATCAAGTCAAGTGAACCACCACACAAATGACTGAAAAAATAATCACCAAGTAAATACTTTAAAAATACTTCATGCTAAAGAGAGAATAAGCTAATAATCATCATCTTGCTTTTGAAATTATTAACAGTGGCCCTGGAAGGGATTTGGAGCATTAAAAGGAATCTCCCCCTGGGAGGCTTGAAGCCAGGACTGCAGAGCAGAAATGATTTACTGTCACAAGCTGAGTTCTACTCAAGGCACGGAAGGCTGAGAAGTAAGACCCTGGCACCCCGACTTCCACCAAAGCCCTGAGGGTGCTGAACAGTTTACAAACCTGGGGTGTATGCTTTACTCAAAGTTCTCAGTCAAAATTCAATCTTCTTTTGCTTCACTTCTCCGAGGTTACTTTCAATTTAACCGCATGGCCTCTTTATGGAATTTAAATGGTTACCAGTTCAGCTAACCAACTTTTTACCCCATGTAAACAATAGAAGCTTATACTCTGACTCTTTCCTGTGCTTTGTATACCCATGTAAAACTTTCTAGCACACAGCCAGCCTCAGTGGGGAGGAATCTTGCATGGTCCTTTCTTGTGGATGAATGATCTTTGTTTACCAATGGAAATGAGGAAAGGGAGATGAGGGAAGTAAGGAAGGATAAGGCAGCTGCTTTGCTTGGCTCCCTTGGTTTCACCCCATTTTATGTAAGAGTCCATCAGGCTGGGCACAGTGTACTGTTCCTCAGAGATACAGAGTTTGGAAGAGAATATTACTCATCCCTCACTGTCACAGCTAGTGTCTGCCAGGAACACTTGTGGCAGGATGTGAAGAAGGCAGGGGTCTTGACATGGAAGCACAAGCAGTGTTCAGATAGTCCAGGGACATGAAATTGGGTATACAAATCCTAAAAATAGCTCTACAGTTGGGACATTACCCCAGGGTGAGAAGAGAGAAATGGGTAAGTGCCCAGCTTGGGGTTACACAAGGTATGACTCATAGTAACAAGTGCTATGTAACACTTATTCTAGATTCCTCACATATGTTAATCTACTTAATCTTTACAACAATCACATCAAACAGTTACAACTCATTCCAGAGATGAGTAAACTGAGGCACAGGAAGGTTGAAAAATTTACCCAGAGTCACTGAACTAGAAAGTGGAAGGACTGAGATTTGAACCCAGGCAGCCAATCTCCAGTGGTTTTCAACCACAAGGACTGCTGCCTCTGAGACAAACAGTGCCCAAGTTATGGATGTCTGTTGAACCTGGAGAACAGTGAGAGCTCAGCAAAAGTGCCACGAAGAAGAAAGATTCCTGGGGAGACAGCCTCTGGAATATGAACTCAGTAGGGAGAAAATATAGCCACTGAGAGACTGAGACACAAGGTAATACAAATAACAAATAAACAGGAACACTTGTTACTAAGGGGATTCATGTAACAGAAAGGAACCTGTACGGAGACCTGGGTTTACTAATAAATAGTTGTAGCCACCATTTACCACGTGCCAGGCATAGTAGTGTCTTGTATAGCTCTGTAACCTACATGGTCACGTGAGGTGAGATGTATAATCTCCATTTTCCAGGTGAGAAAACTGAGGCACTGAGACAGTACCTTACCCAAGATCCTATGTCTAGGAGGTAGTGAGGTCAGAACTACAAACTTGTGTCCACCTGATTCCTGAGACTAAGTTCTTCACCATGGGGCCATTGTAACAGGGAATGTAGTCACTGGAAAACAAGGGTGGAACCAGTCATGGTGGTTAAACAGGCACAAATGCCAGGGCTATGGGATGGCAGGGTTAGGAACTTAGAAGGCAGCTACACTCAAAATCCACAAAGATAGCAATGTCCTGAAGTAATGGTTGATTCAACCCATGTCTGGGACACTTGCCAATTGTGAACTGTTTATTTCAACCTTCCACCCAGTTTGTCAGGTCCCACTTACAGTGGGCAAATCCATCATTCCATGAAAACTCATGAAGCAATTTATTGTGAAGGCAAATAATTTTCTAAATGCCATGTTATAAGACTTGTTTGGAGAACAAATTACCTTCATTTGAGGACATAAAAGTCCAATAGATGCGCCCAGTTCCTCAACTGGGGACATCAGATTTTAAAATGTGTGTTTCATTTTGTCCATAATTGCATTACTTCCATCCATACAATTTAGGAGAGACTCGTTCATGACTCCTGATCGTAGTTACTTACCCACACTGCCTTCCTAGCAGCCCCAGCCCTCTATCTCCAGCCCATGTCAGGCCCTTATAGCGATCACCACATTACCCTATGTAACTATTATTGTTACATCCCTTAGCTCCATATCAGTAAGTTGCCAGCTACATTTTGCTTTATGAACTGCTACTATCTGCCATACAAATCACGAATGATCAGTCTGTATGAATCAGACTGATAACTGAGAATTAGACATTTCTCACTACCAATGAAAAAAGGTAGATAGATACAAGGCACAGAAATATCGTGGATAAACAAAATCCACACAGAGTTTTTAAAAATTGATCAGTAGTCATGCATACACTGTCAGAAGCACCATGAAGGCAGGAACTGTGTCTCTTTACTCACCACCCTGTATCTAGAACTTGGCCCTGGCCGGGCAGAGTAAGTGCTCACTCACTTGTGTCATGAGAATGGCCAGTGAATGAGGGACCAGGATGTGTATGATGCATACTACATGCTCAGAATATCCTTGCTGCTGACTTACATGTCTCCCCCTCCACAAGAGTCTATGGTTTTCTGCCACCTGACACTGCTGAATCAAACAGAATGCAGATAACAGGGGGGAAAGCAAGGGAATCTATTGATTTTAGTGTGTGAATCACTAAAAGTTTCACATTATCTTTTACATACCTTGGAACTCATGCTTTCAAAGAGAGGTTTTTCATAGATTACGACATTTCCAGAAACTTCTCCTGTAAGTGTACTTCACTTAGAGAGTTCAGTCAATCCTTACTTGTCATCTTTTTTTTATTCACTTGTACTTCTTTCCTCTTGCTCATGTATCACACGATCATTGCAGCTGTGACGTCTCCAACGTTTAATGCATCTCATTTAAGATTTAGAATCACGATGTCCCAGTTGTAGTTCTAAAACACATTTCTGTTAGAGACGGCAAACAAAAGTTTCATCATCATCCTAGCAAGTTCTGTTTATCTACTTTTATCAACTTCCTTCTTATTCTGTGGATTATAAAAACAACAACAAAAAGCTGTCTAGCCCACTGCTTCTCAAGCTTTAATGGGCCTACACATTAAAACTAAGAGATCACATGGGCCTCTCATTAAAATTCAGATTCTGATACAGTAGGTCTGACATGGGTCTGAGAGTCTCCATTTCTTAGGAGGTTCTGGGTGAAGCCAATGCTGCTTAAGGGACACCATGAGTAATAAAGGCCTCGAAGGCTGAGGAGTGGTTTCTCACTTATTTGGATCACGTGGCTGTGGCTTTTACATTAAATCAAATTTAAATTAAAATGAGGTTGAGATTAAAGAGCATTTTTTCCAGAGTAAAATTTACTTACTTAATTCATATATTTCTTTACTTTAGGGTAAGAAGAATAAACTTTTCCTTTGAGAAAAAACCTTTTTCTCCTAATATCTGAAAAACAGAGAAGAAATCCAAGCTTGTTTTATAGTTTAAGAGGTATAAAAAAATGTACATTAGTCTATAATTTCTATTATTGATATTAATTCCTATCTATCAATTGATCCAAAGTAATGGCAGACTATTGGTAAAGTTGGCTAAACACTTGAAAACAATGAAGGAAAATATATTTATCTTTACTTGTCACAGCTGAAATACTTTGGGCTTCTAATTCAGATCTTTTTATTAAATACATAAAATATGATAAAACAAAGACCTATTTAATGTCTTTACTTCAAGTAAACTTTATAAACCTTAACCTTTCACCAGGATATCATCATGTTCATCCACTAAAAAAACAAGCAAAACAGACACCAGTTCACGTATAGATACAGGTGAGGAAATGAATGACAGGAATGAAAAGTCTCTGACTCAGAGACAACCATTTTAATGCTAGCCATGTTAGGGCTCATCATTTTTCTAGAATTTGTCCACTAAACAGTAAGCAGCCAGGAATTTTCCGGAGACATGTAAAAGAAAGGAAAAAAAATAATTTTACGCCTTGGCTTCTGTGGCCTAGTGGATTGAGTGCTGGTCTGTGAACCAGAGGGTCTCTGGTTAGATTCCCAGTCAGGGCACTTGTCTGGGTTTCAGGCCAGGTCACCAGTAGGGGGCACGTGAGAAGCAACCACATATTGTTGTTTCTCTCCCTCTCTTTCTCCCTCCCTTCCCCTCTGTCTAAAAATAAATAATAAATAAATAAATAAATAAATATTTTTTAAAACTTTCTAAAAAATAAATAAAATTAAAAAATTTTTTACTAATACTACTGGGTTTTTAAAAAAAGGTTAAAACAAGGGGAAAGATCTGGCCTTCTTATTCTCCAGTTACCCAGTTGTCAAAAGTAATATCTATGTAGTATAGAAAAAAAGGGAAAAAAAATCTGTAATTCACTTCCCAGAAACAACTACAGATAACATGTTGATATATTTTCATTCTTTTTTCCTATCCACTTTTTAGTTTACATATTTGAAGTCACATGTATTGTGTCTGTGTTTATTATCCCTTTTATCATATCATATAATTTCACATTCATTAAAATTTAACTTTAAATAATTACATTAAAAATCGTTATATGTTTGTACTAATTTTTTGCATTTATTAATCTACCTGTGGATATTTTGATTTTTCATTTTATATATAACTGTCATGATTTACTTACCACCACACCCCATTAAAGTTTTTTCCTGGTATTCGGTCACACCTTTCATTCTACTTCCTCTACAGGAAAGATCTTCTTAAAACTTCCTCCAGTTCCCAGTTCTCACATTTACTTCTCAGTTTCTATGTAATAAATCAAGTCAGGTAAACAAAGATTTGTTGACTGGTTATGTCCATTCCCTCCTTAAAAATATTTACACTGTGAAACAGTCACTAATCTCTTGAGTCAAGGTCCAAACTTCTCCAGAATTAATATAAAAATTTCCACTTGGTTAATACACACTAGAAGAGAGCCTACCTGTAAGCCAATTCCAGCCACTACCTCATCGTTGTTTACGGAACTCCCTCATCATTGGCTATTTCAATAACAGTGCTTGGGCCAGTGGCTAAAATTGGAGAGATCACATCTTAAGTTAGTCAAAGACTATAACACCAAAAACTACCTGGAGATGAGGT